TATGTTGATGGTATTTCTATTGGGATTGCATTGAATCTGTATAACAGTTTTGGGAGAATGGCCATTTTCACAATGTTTGTTCTTCCTATCCATGAGCAAGGGATGTCTTTCCATTTTCTGAGATCATCTTCAATTTCCTTTTTCAGTGTATTATAATTTTCACTGTATAAGTCTTTCACTTCTTTCATAAGAGTAATTCCTAAATATTTCATTTTTTTGCTTGCTAATGTGAATAGTCCAGTTTCTCTTATTTCCCTCTCTGTAATTTTGTTGTTCGTGTATAGGAATGCTATTGATTTCTGAGTATTGATTTTGTATCCAGCCACATTACTGAATTTATTTATTGTATCTAAGAGTATTTCAATGGAGTTTAGGGGGTCTTCTATGTAGAGTATCATGTCATCTGCAAACAATGATAATTTAACTTCTTCTTTTCCTATCTTTACCCCTTTTATTTCTCTTTCTTGCCTAATTGCTCTGGCTAGTACTTCCAGTACTATATTAAATAGGAGTGGTGATAAAGGACATCCTTGTCTTGTACCCGATTTTAAAGTAAAGGCTTTCAATTTTTGGCCATTTAGTATGATGCTGGCTGTTGGTTTGTCATAAATGGCCTTTATTATATTGAGGTAAAGACCATTTATTCCAATTTTCTGTAAAGTTCTTATCATGAATAAGTGTTGGACCTTATCGAAGGCTTTTTCTGCATCTATAGAGATGATCATGTGATTCTTATTTTTGGCTTTATTGATATGGTGGATTACATTTATTGATTTGCGTATGTTGAACCATCCTTGCATTCCTGGGATGAATCCCACCTGGTCATGGTGTATAATCTTCTTGATGATTTGCTGGATCCTATTTGCCAATATTTTATTGAGGATTTTTGCATCTGTGTTCATTAGGGAGATCGGTCTATAGTTCTCTTTTATAGTTGGGTCTTTCTCAGGTTTTGGTACTAGAGTAATATTTGCTTCCAGGAATGACTTAGGAAGGATTGCTTCCCTTTCAATTTCATTGAATAGTTTGAGGAGTGTTGGCATTAGGTCTTCTTTATATTTCTTGTAGAATTCTGCAGTGAATCCATCTGGGCCTGGGCTCTTCTTGGTGGGCAAGGACCCAATTACATTCTCAATTTCATTAGCAGAGATTGGGTTATTCAACAGTTTTATATCCTCTTGATCTAGCTTTGGTACTTCATATGCTTCTAAGAATCTGTCTATTTCTTCTGTGTTATCAAACTTTTGAGAGTAGAGGTTTTCGAAATAGGTGTTGATGATCCTCTGTATTTCTATTGGGTCTGTAGTGATTTCTCCTTTTTCATTTCTTATTGCATGAATTTGAGCTTTTTCTTTCCTTTTTTAAATAAGGTTGGCTAGGGGCTTATCGATTTTATTTATTCTTTCAAAGAACCAACTCTTTGATTCGTTGATTCTTTGGATTGTTTTCTTAGTCTCTATTGCATTGATTTCTGCTCTGATTCTTATAATTTCCTCTCTTCTTTTGGCTTTGGGCTTGACTTGCTCTTCTTTTTCTAGCTGTTTGAGGTGTAGCATCAAGTTATTTACTTGTATTCGTTCTGTTTTCCTGATGTGGGAACTCAGTGCAATAAATTTTCCTCTCAGAATGGCTTTCATTGCATCCCACAGATTCCGGTAAGTTGTATCTGCATTTTCATTTTCTTTTAGGTATTGTTTAATTTCTTCTTTAATTTCTTCTGTGACCCACTGATTACTCAAGAGTGTGTTATTTAGTTTCCATGTGTTTGCGGAATTTTTGCAGTATCCTTTGTCATTAATTTCTAATTTCAGAGCGCTATGATCCGATAATATGCAAGGGATGATTTCAACTCTTTTGCATTTGCTTAAATATGTTCTGTGAGCTAATATATGGTCTATTTTAGAAAATGATCCATGTACTGCTGAGAAGAATGTGTATTCTGATGTTGTTGGGTGGAACATTCTGTATATGTCTATCAAACCCATTTGTTCACAGGTGTGATTCAGTTCTGTTATTTCTTTGCTCATTTTCTGTCTGGTTGATCTGTCCCTTGGTGTCAGTGGTGTATTAAGGTCTCCTGTTACAATTGTGTTACTGATAATTTGAGTTTTCATTTCTGTTAATAATTGTTTTATATAACTGGGTGCTCTGGAGTTTGGTGCGTATATATTTAAGATAGTTATCTCTTCCTCTTGGAGTTTTCCCCTTACGAGTATGTAGTGACCTTCTTTGTCCTTTATGGTCATTGTTGGTTTAAAGTTCACGTTGTCTGCAAACAGAATGGCTACTCCTGCCTTTTTTTGGATTCCTGCTGCATGAAGAATTGTTTTCCATCCTTTGACTTTCAGTCTGTGAGTATCTTTCTGGGTTAGATGGGTTTCCTGTAAACAGCATATGGTTGGATTTTGTTTCTTGATCCATTCTGCTAGTCTGTTTCTTTTGATTGGTGCATTGAGACCATTTACATTAATGGTTATTACTGTTAAATGCTGGTTAATTGTAGGAATGTTATCTCTCTGCTGTTGCATCTTTATCTTTCGGTTCTGTTTAATTATTTGCTTTGCTTAGTGGTTTTTTCCTTTGTTTATCTAAACTGTCTTTCAATATTTTTTGCAGGGTTGGTTTGGTGTTCATGAAGTTCTTCAGCTGTTCTTTGTCATGGAAGTATCGTATTGCACCATCTATTTTGAATGATAGTTTTTCAGGATATATCAGTCTTGGTTGGAAATCATTTTGCTTTAGGATCTGGAATACTTCACTCCATGCTCTTCTTGACTTTATCGTTTGTGCTGAGAAGTCTGCTGTGATTCTGATAGGTTTTCCTTTATAAGTGATTTGTCTTTTCTCTCTGACAGCTTTTAATAATCTATTCTTGTGTTGGATTTCTGGGATGGTGACTATTATATGTCTGGGTGTAGTTTTATTTTGGTTATGACTGTTTGGAGTTCTATATGCTTCACTGATCCTGATGTCAGTTTCTGATCTCATGCTTGGGAAATTTTCAGCTATTACTTCTCTAAATATCCTCCTGACATCCTTCATGTTGTCTCCCTCTCTTTCATTAATCCCTATCATTCTTATGTTATTCTTCTTTGCATCGTCTTGCAGTTGTTGAATTGTTGTTTCCTGGTTCCTTGTTATTTTCAAAAGATCTTTCCTTTCCTGTTCACTAGCTGCAATCCTGTCTTCAAGGTCTGAAATTCTATCTTCACTTTCATTAAGGCGGTTTTTACAACTTTCAGTGGAGTTTTTTATTTCCTGTATATCTCTGTGCATCTGCATTATGTATTCTGTTTGTTTCTTATATTGCTCGTCTAGGGATTCTATCTTTTTGTTTAGTTCCTCCAATTTTTTATCTGTGTTTTCTTTAGATATATTTAGAATCTCTTTCATTTCTTTTATCATTTCTTCTTTTATCTGTGAAATTATTTCGAGTTTGAATTTCTTTAAAGCTTCCTGGAGTTGCTTGTCAATTTCAGTGGCTATTGTGTCCGATATATGAGGTGGATGGGATATATTTTCTTCTATATACATCGCTCCTAGGGTTTCTTGAGATGGGCTGGAGGTTTGAGGTTGTAATTTGGTCTTTCGTTTTGTCATTTTCCTATATTTCTGTGTTTCAAGTGTTACTTGAAAGCTTCCTCAGGATCTGTTGAAAATCCCCTTCTATGTTTGGAGCTACTGGGACTCTGGCGCCGCGCTACTCCAAGCCATTAGGCCTACAGAACCAGTGGCCCTCCTCTGCCTGCTCAGAACTCCGCAGTTCCAGACAAGCTGGGCCTCAGGGACACTGTGCGCCCACCTGCCCCTTGGAAGCTCCACAGTTCTTCAATCGCAGCCGGGTTAGGGTACTCACCACAGGCCGCAGTGCTTCAGGAACCTGTGGACCCTCCCTGGTTGCAGAGATATCCACAGTCCTCCAGACACGCAGAGAGGCCGGTGAGGGCACCCCAGATCTGCCCAGCTCCTCCTCTGCAGACTTATGGCCAGGCGCGGCAGCTAAACAGGCTGGGCTAGGCTGGTAGTGTGGGCCAGCCCACCTATCGGGAGCTCAGCAGGTCTCCAAATGAAGCCGGGAATGGGGAGGCTGATGTGGAAGCCTTAAACCCACCTCTCTCCTTCACCGCACCTGGAAGCCTGAGGGAACTCCAGCAGTCTGGGCGCAGAAATCCAGAGTCCTCCAGACACGCAGAGAGGCCAGTGAGGGCACCCCAGATCTGCCCAGCTCCTCCTCTGCAGACCTATCACATTGCCACATTTTCCATGGTTCACAGCGAAGCTATCTTTATCCCCATCACCTAATTAGCGTTTCTACCAGACACTCATTTGATCCAGGTTTACAGTGTAATCGCAGCCAAAACAGGCATCTAATGCAGTGACAAGCTCATGCACGAGGTGGCGCTGTTTCTCCACCAGTCGGTGCTGAGTTACTCTGCCTTCTCTTCCCTGCCTTCACCCAATGACTGGACCTGCCAGGCACTGGACCTGCCAGGGCCTCTGCCTTCTGTGCTGTGTCCAAGCCTGCTGCCTGGTGAGGCTCCGCCAGTACAGCAGTGTGGACATGCATACTGGCCCGTGGCCTGTGATTCAGAAGACCTGAATCACACTAACAGTTGACCCACTTTTCTTTTTGGGGGTGCTGGACATGCGAGGCAAGCCATACTGCCAAGCTGCCCCCTAGCCCTTTCCCATTTTTGAAAACGTTTATAAAAACAGTACTTTAGATGTGTTATAGCATGCTTTTTATGTTTTGGACCCCATTTATTTTAGGTTTCTAATGTTTAAAAGCTTGTAGGCCCTGGTTCCTCCTATAGGACTCAATCTGTTTCTTTCCCATACAGATTACAGTACCAGGAAAAATGCTCAGGTTGAGTTCATTTTTGCTAGTCAGGACTGCCATAGTAATCATTTCCTCTTCCTCGTCAGACACTAGACACGCATTTTCACAGATGTGGTCAGTCCATGCTTGATACGAATTGTTCTATTTTGTTTGTTTTTAGATCCGGGGATTTCTGTCACGGTTTGATAATGTCCTTCCTGTCAGCCTGGCGTTTGACAAATGTACAGCTTGTTCTTCCAAAGTAAGTCATTTTGCATTTGAGAGACTCGTTTTTAAAAGGGAGCCCATCAGCATTTAACCTCAGCCTTACCTGCCAGAGTCATTGGAACCAGTTCCTTTGTTTTCAGCTATCTGTGTTGTTCTCCCAGAGAAAACAGCCTGAGCAGATTTGATTCTAGTCCACAGAGAGTGACTGAGTTAGATGTTTAACTCTGTATCAATACTTGCATCATGGTAATTTTGGTTTGGACTTGAACTTGACTGCTCTTTGTTCCTCCCCAGAGGGTTTCTTCCTTGCAGACTTTATAGAGCAGTTTTTGTTTTTTCCTTTGAGATGCTTAGGAGGGAACCCAGAGCCTCACTCATATGTGCTAGATGGCCCCCAAACACTTAGTCCCAACCTCAGCCCTCTTCAAAGACCAGATTTTAGGCTTGACTCAGAAGGAGGGGCATACCAAGGAGTCCTGGCTCTGTGTATTTCAGAGATCTACATAATGGCAAATAAAAGGTAAATAGAGATTAGGGACCTGGATAGGGAACCAATAAAAGAGCCCTTCAGCTTTGATCTTTCCAGCTGCTCTAAAAATAGAGCTGGTATACTGCCCCTTGTAATGGGAACCAGCTGATCATCTCAAACTGTAGGGATGGCAGCTCCCTTTTTAACTGGCTCTGCGATGTCTTCTGAGTCATGATTATATGTATACTGTGTGTGACTGATTTCCTTTTGGTTGTCCTTTTAAGCCTTCTCACACCCAGTAACTTAACCTAGGCTTTAAAAACTCCTAATTCTTGGTAGGCAGAGATTTTCTCCATAAAATGCCGTATAGAATAATAGGTTGGGAGCTAAGTGTGGTGGCACACACCGATAATCCCAGCACTTGGAGGCTGAGGCAGGATCGCCATGAGTTTGAGGCCAGCTCTGGCTACATAAGTGAATTCACAGGTAAGACTGGGATCTCTGGTCCCAAGTCTCCATTATTATCTGAGACGTTTCTGTTGCGTACTCTACACTTGGCAGGTGGAGGTGAATTCGAGGGACGTTCTCTCCTCCAAGTTGATGCACTTCTGTTAAAAACTCTACGTGGGTTGAATTCTAAAAAGCAGCATCCTGACCACATTCTCTGAAAACTGAACTCAAATTTAATAAACTGTGTTGATAAATTTAGTTAAATCTAGGTCCTCCAAGCTGGAGAATAACAGTTTTTTCTTCTTGCTTTGAAAATAAGCCCCTCTTTTATTGGTATACATCCCAAGTTGCCTCCATTGAGATTTGAAGCTTATTCTTTGCCGGTAATGACCCATGAGCTCACTCTTCCTGTAGTTTCTATTTTAAAATATCTTATAGTCACTCAAGCTGGAGCCTCAAAGAATCCATGTGAACTTGTGTCTTAAGAAATGCAAGTTTTAGGGTGGTGTGCTCCTTACGGAGCTTGGTTTTTCTTTGTATGACTGAGCTAATTGGTCTTAGAGTAACTGGGCAGTATTAGTTTTCATTCTAAAATCGTTTGGCCCAGGTGCCAAAAGCTTTTCTATGGCTTTATGTAAGGCCGGCTCGACAATGAAAAAAAGATAATTGGATTCTCAAAGTGAGGTGCAAACCTTCATTCTTTTTTGTTCTCGTCCTAATTAGAGCACATATGATCCTGTTTATGAAGGAATCACAAGCATACCAGCTGACTCGGGCCCCTGGGTGCTTTAAAGGAGAATGGCTTTGCCTTTCCTTCTCTTGCGTATTGTAAGCATTCAATTAAATGTAGGTATCACGTTTTTGTTAGCAGAATGATTTCCTCTTGGTGGTCACTCTGCAAGTCCTGCTCTACATAAACACGCTCACCAATTTAATACAAACTGACTTGGATTTTAACAGCTGCACTCTTCCCACAGCGATCACTTTTCATCTGGGCCAGGGATTGAGTTTCTTTTGTGCTGGAAAGGTTGCTTCATTGGTGCCTGTATTTCCTTACAGTAGAAGCACAGCGTTTACTTACTTGGCTACCTTCTTTATGCGCCCAGGAGAATGTCATTTTCTATCATCTGCAAACGCAGCATTAATACTTTGAAACGACACATCCAATTATATTTCCATCTCCAGGCCTGGGAGTGTTTTCTCAGTGCATACTTAGATTGATACTTCTTAGACTGAGTCATATCACAGTTGTTACTGTTTCAAAAGGAGTTTTTTGAGCTTTTTGACTTTTTTGTTTTGTCTTTTTGCTTTTTATGAGTACCAGGGATTGAACTCACGACTGCCTGCTTTCAAGGTAGGCGCTTATGCTACTGAGCTAAATCCCCAGCCCCCCTAAAATTGACTTTTAAAAATTTCTTTTTCAACATCCACAACATAATTTTTTTCTTTGGTACCATGAGAATGGTACCTCGGTTCATGAACTTAATTCTTTCCATGATTCTGGTCACAAACCAAATTGGACAAGAACCAAATGAAATTCAGTGGTTAGGCTCACTGTTGACCTTATGGGGAAATTTGATTTGGTTCTGGTCCAATTTGGTTTACAACCAGAATCATGGAAAAAATTAAATTCATGTACTGAGGTACCGCTGTAGTCGTGAGGGTTTGTGTTGTGTCTTGATTTAATCACAGATACACAAAGAAAGATTGGGGAGGTGCGCTAAACTCTATTGAGTACTAATGCTCTTATTAATTGCCTTGATTATGAAACAATATAGGATATAGGTCTTTTCTATAGCTGAAGGTGGGGAAGAATACAGCTCCTGCTTGTGTGCCAGGAAAGGCCAAGTCATTACCCAGAAAGCATTTCTTAGCCTGTCAAATCTTAGCTTGACATGTAGCCAGGTGAATTCTTCCATTAAAAAAGGATACTTGAAGAATCTCAGAGGGAGGCAGGTGTTGCAGAGTTGCTTTCATTTTAATTTGTTTATTTTCTTACAGAAATTTTTTTTTTTTGAGATAGGGTTTTACTGTGGTTCAGGTTGGCCTTGAACTCACTGTGTGCCCATTCTAACCTTGAACTTGCAGCAGTCCTCCTGCTTCAGCCTACCAAACACTGAGATTGTAAGCGTGTGCCATCATACCTGGCAGAACTTTCTAAAATGATGGTCTCTGCCACTGCAATTTGAAAGAAAACTGTATTTGAAACTTGTATAAGGTTTTTTAAAAAATCTAATTTAATTTTTGGTTTTACAAAGGAATTTAGAACCAAGTAAAGTTACTAAAGTTCCTGCTCGAAGGGAGTATCATTGTGAAACACGTGTTCCTCAAAGAGTGTCTCAGAATGCACCGCATTAGTTTATTAGTATTAGCCTTTTACCTGGAATCTGTTGGTGGTTAGAGCATTTTTTATATAATGTAAACTTAGAGAGAAGTTGGAGGAATAATAATATGAGAAACTCCTGTGTAGCCTTCGCCCAGGCACCCATTGGCCCTGTATCGTGCTCCCCTCCCCTCCAGCCTCCCTCTTTTCCTGATCTACATACTTTTTTTCTTGAAATTTTCAGGTAAATTGGAGGCACAGTATTACAAAGTCCTTTGTAGCCAAATGCTTCCATGGAAGCTGCCTGAGAACAAGGGTGTTCTGCTACCTGCGCGCAGTGCATTGAGCACATTAGGGCTGCCTGATATTTGCACCCTGCTGGTATCAATCCTCAGTCTGTGTTCCTAATGTTCTGTCTTCCCATAGTGTACTGTGGAGGCTCTTTTCTCATCCTACAAAGGATCCAATTCAGCATCACACTTTGGTTTAGCTGTCTTGTCTCTTTGGCATTCCTGTGAAACTTGCTTAGCTGTCTACATCTTTTTTAACCTCAGCATTTTGACTCATTGCCAGTTGTTTTTCTAGAATTTCCCTTAATTTGGACTTGTTTTCTTCTGATTAGATTCAGGTTCTGAATTTTTGGCAGGGATCCCAAACAAGTGATATTGTGTGCTCATGTTGGGAGGCACACGATGCCTTTAATCCTCTTCAATGATATTATTTTCCCCCTCTGTGTATTTGTAACTACCTTTCCCAAAAGAGAGAAACCTGGACCCCATTATCCTGGATGCATTTACATCCTTGCTCAAGTTTACAATACAGAGAAACTAGTTTCAAAATTGCTAGTCTCCCTACTACTACACAAAATAAACCTAGCAACCAAAGTTCAGTATGGGTGTGGTTCTTTATTCCTAGGTAAAATTCATACATATTGAAATGCACAAATATGAATTTCATAAACTTTGACAAATGCATGCACTTGTATAAGCCACACTCCTCCAATCAAAATGCAGAGTGACCACCCTAGCAGGTTCCTTCACACCTTTCCCAAGGAGCTCTGGGGACAAGGGAATGAGTCAAATCCTGTGTCTGTTTTTTCTCTACAAACAATAAAGCTACAAAGGTGTTGGTGTTTTACAGACCAGTGACCTTGTTTCTGAGGCCTAAAAACTGACCAGAAACTTGTCTGGTCTCTGCAGATTCAGGGCCAGGGCTGTGCCTGTACAAGAAAACTGTCCCTGGAGCATCCTTGCTCTCTGCACGGTTCTGTCCCCCACAGCCTTTATGATCTTGCAGGGACAGCCTGCTCTGCAGCAGCCGTCCCCAGCCCAGGTCCACATACCATCTGGGGCCTGCCTCCTGCACAGATGGAGCAAGATAGGCCCGGAAACCTGATCCTGACCATTTAATGAGTGATTAGTAACCCTAATAATACACTCACGCTGTGTGGACCATGTGTCAAGCTCTCCTGTCGATGGATTGTGATTAAACTTCGGCAAGTGACTTGATGTTGGCTTTTGTGTGCATTGGGCCTGTGTGCCTGAGCAGTGACAGGGACAGGGTGGCATTCAACAGTAAACATCAGCTGGCACCCTCAGATGATACACTGTACTTTTTTCTTGCCTCTGTGATAGTCTGCCTGTCTGTTTATCTTGAAATGTTACATCATCTTATCTTTTTCCAGAGTATTTCTTTGTGACTTAAGAAGTATGAAATACTAGAATAAGCTCTGTCCTAAAGCAAGTTGTCACTAAAGAGTTCTGCAAGTATACCTGTAAAGAAGAGACAGGCA